CGAACCCCCCCCCCACCGCGTCTGACTCCAGCCTCCGGAAGCCTCTGGGCACAAGCTATCAGGGACCCCGCACCCGACAGTGTCGCGCCCAGAACCCACCCGGTCCCCCACCGCGTCTGACACCCGCCAGCCTGCGGAACCTCTGGGCACAAGCTTTTCGGGACCCCGCACCCGACAAATTCGCGCCCAGAACCCACCCGACCCCCCCACCGCGTCTGACATCCGCCAGCCTCCGGAAGCCTCTGGGTACAAGCTTTTGAGAAAGCCTCTGGGCACAAGCTTTTAGGGACCCCGACGACGACGGACGACGGACGACGGACGACGGACGACGGACGACGGACGACGGACGACGGTCGACGGACGACGGACGACGGACGACGGACGACGGACCACCCCTCACGCGTTCGTGGCCCCATAGGGAGCTCAACCGAAGGCCCAATGGAAAAGCCCGCATGCCGCCACCTCGCCGTCTCGCCCCTCCCACGTTTCGTGGCTCCATGGCGAAACTGTCGATTCATGTCTCTTCTTGTCCTTTTGCGTCCCTATTCATGTCTCCTATTCTTGTGCTCATTTAAATAGAAACGCACTCCTTGTAGCACATCCGACTGGCCCAACGCACAAAGGAAACCCGACCTTTCCACCACGCGTGACATGCGACCCCCAAAAAAAAGAGAGAGCGACGCTTGACACGCGCCCCTAAACTGTTTTGCTTTTCTTCGTCACCAGTGCCGCACTCCGCTCGGCGACTTCTTTCTTGGCGCGTTCTTCATGCGCGAAGCATTTGTTACACCTTTGCTTACCATCCGGTTTTCCCGCCCTGCGCGTGGCCAGCCAGGAACCAAACTCTCCCTTTTCGAACGTGCCCTTGCACGCAATGCATCTCCACCAGCCGCGCGGCGCCTTCACTTTTCCGACGCACTCTGCGCACTTCCGTTGTCGGTCAGCCGCGTCGGTCCACATGCGAACCGACAACTTCCCTCGCGGCTGCGCCACCTCGCACACAGCACACACCTTCATGTCCTTCCGCGCCGCTCTGCCCCGACTGGCGCCTGCAGCTTCGACGCACTTCGCGCGCGCGCGCGAACTCTCCGAAACGTCGCCCCACATGCGATTGGAAAACTATCCCTGGCTCTTCGACACCCCACATTGGGAGCACACCGTCCGTTTCGTTTTTTTCGGCGCGCGCCTTCTCTTCCTTCTTCGCTGTCTTCCTGCACTCCGTGCACAGCCGCGCTTCGTTGTGAGCGCCCAACTTCAGGAACTCCCTGGCAAGCTTCTCCTCTTCGCAGCGGAAACACCTCAGGCGCTTCTTCAGCTCGTCGCACTCGACGCGCATCCCCCCTTTACACCTGAGGTTCGCTGACTTCTCCCATTGGTACTGCACGAACGCACCTTCGTATTTCCGCACCTCGCATGCAACACATTTCCGTCTCTCGGGGCAATCCACGCATCGCCGCGAAGTCAGCTTCGACGAGTGGTGCTGGGACGCGTGGAAGGCATCCTGGCCCTTCCAGATACCGCACTCCATGCATTGCCACGGAGTCCCCGCACTCTTCTTGCCTTCCAGGCACAAGCTACACACGCGGAGACCGTCGTCGCGACTCCACTGCCCAAGAGCATACTGGTTCTTGTACTTCACTGACGCGCGCAGCGTGCACCGCCCCGAAGGCATGAACTCCTTCTCGATCGCGTGCCAATCTATAAGTTCTCCGCGCAAGACTTGCAACAGTAAGGCGGGCCCCTTGCGCCCTTTCTGAGTGCACGGCGCGCGGTCGAAAGGCCGAAAGATCAACATGTCCTCGCGCCGACGCACTCGCGTCAGAGCCGCGTAACTCGACAGCGGCGACGCACCCCCTCCAATCCTCAAGTCCACGATGACTCCTTGCTTGAATGTCTGCCCCTGTGCTGAATGGGCCGTGACTCCAAATGCAGGCGCCAAAGGGGATTGCCGCCGCTTCACTTTCAGGCGCGGGCACGGCCGACCCTTATCCTCGAACCAATCTTTCTTCTGCGGCGCCACCGGGTACAGGCCCGGCGTCTGCAGCCCCGGAATCGTCCAGCTGCACGGGATCCTGGCTCCTTTGTCATCGCGACCCTCGTCGAAGAGAACAAATATCACTTTCGGAGTCTTCTGCAGAATGGCCCCCCCTCCCCGGGAGACGCGACCCGCTCCGTCGTCGCCGTCGCACGCCCACGAGTGCACGGTCCCCACGCGACCGCGGAGCAGATACTTATCCTCGCTGCGATCTATGCGATCCGTGAGGGCCACGGGCATTCCCTCCGCGATTAGCAAAAACCCGTACAGGTCCCCGCTCTCCATGTCGTGGCGCTGCAGCCAGGCCATCTTTTGGCGCGGCAAATCCGGCCGCTCGCGCAGCGCTTCCGGCGCGGGGGTGTCGCGCGCAGGGATGTGCACCATCGGCTTCTCGCGCAGTCGGGCATACTGTGACGCTCGGAACTTGTTCACCTCATACTTCACGTCGTTGTTCGGGAACACCCCCGGGGCACACCGAAACATCGCCGAGTGCAAGCGCGGGTCATCTGGACAAGCGATGACGAGACGGCGCCGTTCGCGCTCCCGCCTGCACTCCCCACATTCCTGCCTGCGGATGTCCTTCGGGGTCACTGAGCGCTGACGGCGCGCCCCGACGGCTTCCTTCTGCGAGACCCCTCCGCCGCCACTCAAGGCCTGACATCTCGCGTTCCCACGCTCAACCTCACCATGGAGCCAGCTCCCGGGCACGTTCGTATCACTCCCGTGCAAGAAGGCATGCGTGTCCCCCGTCAGGTCTCCTCTGCGGAACTCCTCTTGCACGCATCTCAACCAGGGATCGTCGCAGCGCTCGCGCTCCACTAGCTCCGTTACCCCCTGCACGCCCTCCTGGCCACCCCCCCACAGGAGGGCTTGCCCATATAGCACTGGCGGGAGCGAGGTGTACTTCCGAGCCTCCGCGATGCGCTCTGTTGGCACGTCTGCAAGGAACCCCCCGTCCGGAGGCGCCAACTGCCAAAAATCTCCGCTCAGCACGACGTTCAGGCCGCCGAAGGGCCGCTGCACTCCGTCTTCCCCGCACTTCTGCGCACCCACGCCCCGAATGACGCTGCGAAGCTTCTGGTCTACTTCGGCGAGCAACCGGGCGCTGACCACGCTGATCTCGTCGATGAACAACCACCTCCACTGCAGAACCCGCGTCGCTGCATCGCACTGAAGCTTCGCATCCTCCCCCCTCTCGTCGCCACGTTTTACGGCGGGAATGCCGCAGGCGTGATGCATGGTGTCACCACCGAGCAGCTGCGCCATGACTGCCTGGAAAGCCGCGATTTGAAAATGGACGCCAATCGTCCATTTCATGATGTCCTCGAAAAGCTCCTTCCGCAGAATGCGCAGCACGCGTGATTTCCCTGTGCCGGGCCCTCCGTGCATGCACCAACGCAGCGGGTCACCCATGCCCGCGCCCCCTCGTGCCTCCCCGTCCAGCTATTGCATCGCCCTCTCTGCTACCTGCTTGACCATCTCGAACTGCTTCGCGTTGACAACGCGCCGGCCTGTGTCTTTGCCAGTCCTGAACTCCAGCTTCCTGAGCCACTCTGCCACCTGGTCCGATGTCGCCCCAGCCTGCGTCTCCACCTTCCCAATTCCTTCCACCGCCGCCACTGTGTCTCCTTGTTGCGCGACGCCCTTGCTGCGGCCTGCGCGGCTTCCAGATCGCAGCTGACCGCTCTCGGCCACGCGCCCCGGACCTCACCGAGCGACTTTTCACCCGGGCGCTGGCCCCGCACTTCCTGGGCCCTGGCCATGCCTGCTTTAGAGTTCGCGCAATGGGAACATCCACTCAGACCACCCTCCAGGCCACCGACATCTTCTCCACTGCTGCTGTCACCGTCGCCGTCTGCACGTTTGCGACCACCGACCCGTGACTTCAGAGCCTCGTCCAGCTCGTCGAATCCAACCTCCAACTCTTCGTCGCTCACGTCCTCGTCACTCCGCGCGCCCTCGTGCTCCGAATCCCTCGGACGCACGCGGCGCGCGCTGAGGAAATTGCCCGCGTACCGCGCAGCCTCTTCCGACTGCGCTCCGCCGTCCAGCCACGACGCCAAGGCGCCCTCCCACGTTGTCGAGCTCCGCCGCAGGGCGCCTGCGAACACCACGTGCTCGTCTGCCTCTGACTGCCGCAACGTCCACGGGTGAAAGTATGACATGACAATCCGCGCCGATCGTTCAGCTTCTCCACTTCGGCTACGCGGCACCGGCGCCCCGAAAAATGTTGGCGCTAAAAGCCTCTTGTCGCGGACGAGAACCCACGTGTGCCGCAGATGCCGGCAGCCGTCAGTGTCTGGATAAGCCACCCAATCCTTTCCAGCGCCCCCCTTCACCATGTAGTCCACCCCGGGCACTAGCTCTTCTGCCTGCTCTGGATTCCGGCCCCACTTTTTCACTTTCTGCTCTCCTCCCGCTGTCAAGAACGCGCGGTGCCTGTCCCGGTCGGCTTTCGCGCCCCTGATGCTGGTTGGGCACGCCGCGGCCACGGGCCTGCAATGCGTTGCGAACTCGCACGGCGACAAGTGCCACAGGCCGTCCCGCTTCGGGCGCAGTCCGCACAACATGGCCACGTCCCGGATAGTGACTTTCCGACGCCGCGGGTTTCGCACATCCACCTCCGCGAACAGCGCTTTGCGTCCTCCAGTTGTGCCGTCAGACAGCCTCTCAACCGTCTCGACGTACTCGCGTCCGTGGAAACTGGCTGACTCACAGGTCTTGATCGACTCTGCCGACGTCACATCATTCTCCCTGGCGCACGCTCTAAGACTCGCGCACTCCACCTGGCCGCGAACAATACCTTTCCCGTAGGCGTCGCTCATGATCCGCGTCGTCATCCGCTTCCCGACGTAGTTCGCGCTCTCCCCGCGCAGCTGCCGGCTGAGCTTCTCGATGCCTTTGGAGCACTCGCGGACTTCATGGAAGGCCATGGGCTGCCGCTTCGCGCAGTAATCGCACGCATATCCTGCCTGGGCGTCCTGAGCCATCTGGACCACCTTGATGATAGCTGCATCGTTCTGCTTCTCCACGCGCCCTTCACCGCACGTGCAGCTCTCGCTTGTGATAGGCAACCTGTACGGCAGCTGCACGTCCGATTTGAAACGCTGCGCGGCAAGCATGCATGGGCGTGTCCCATTGGGACTCTCATGGTTCATGGGCCCATGCAAACTCCCGATACGGTTTCGCCTGCCTGCCTTCGGCATATCCAACTGCGCCGCCAGACCTGGGCAAATCACAACTGGATGGCCGATGAGCTGCGACGTCCGTGGGAAATCTGCCTTACAGAGCTTCGGATTGTCTTCCCGACGACACGCTGGCAAGGGCACCCTCTCCCCCGTCTCCGGGTTCTCCAGATGCACGTGGTGCTGCTTGCGCTCTTGAAGGTACTGCACATCCTCGTCCAGGTACCTCCTCTCCCACGCACACGCTTCTGCCGCCTCTTCCCGCTGCGTTAATCCCTCCCCCGCACTGCAGGTCTGATACGTCGGGCGGCACACTAGCCCACACTCAGACTTATATTCTGGCCACGCGGCCTCCGCTCCTGCCAGATGCTTATGCAGGTCGTCTGAGCTGACCCGCGCTGAGTACTCCTGACGACAAACCCGGCGCTTGTACTCCAAGGGCGCTTTTACAAACGCCCGCCCCCATCCGTCCGCATTGTTCCGAACGAGTTCGAAGATTCTGTCCAGCGGCGCGCGCTGGCGCAGACACTGGACAAACACCTGACAGTGCGCATGGGGCGCGCCCGTCGACTTCTGCGCTTCGATGGAGACATAGCACGCGTCCGCCCTGCCGAACATCCCACCCTCCGGCGCGGCGTTGCTGCCGAACAAATCACGGCACGGGGAACCGTGCTCACCGTGGTTGCATCCCGGGCAATCCGGGCACGTGCGCAATCCGAAAAGATGCCGCATGGTTGCGTCAACAATCGCGCGGAAGCCGTCCACGTTTGCCATTGGACCCCGAGCGAGCATCTTCCCGCGCTCTGCCCAGGAAGGAACCTGCGACGAGATCGCAGTTAGCGGGGCCTCCAAGCGCACATCATCTGTCTCTGGAGCGACCCGTGGCCACTCCCGGCCCCCCGCGGCCTGTGACGCCGTCGCGTCCCCCATCGCATCGTGGACGGGGTCACGTCGCCGCGCGCGCGACAACCGGACCATGATCATGTTGTGTCCTTCGTCGGGAGAGAAAGTCGCAAAAATCGGCGCGCCGTACCGCGCGCGAAGCGCGTTCGTTTCGAACCGCATGGCCCGCCGCGTCTCCTGCGCCCCTGGTAGCCGCCGAGACGCGTGCTCGATGTTCGCGAGCAACTTGTGGGCTGCTCTACCTAGGCCCGGGACGAAGCGCACTTTCGTCATGTCTCCCATGACTTTATGCTTCTCACCGTTCGCGCCCTGGTACTTCCCCGCCAAGGCATGGTGGATCTGCTTCGCCCCTTCGCTGATCTCCTCGGGCGTGATTTGCGCATCCACGCCCTTCGGGTTAGCTGACGCGCCCCGAGAAGAAGGAACAAAAGGAAGAAAGAAGACCGCTGCCCCTCAAGGGGGCTATCCCGACATCGGACAGCGAGGCCAACCGCGGGCGATCTAATAACGACTGCACGCATTTCCGCTCCAGCGCAATGCTTGAAACAAAACTAGCACGGCGGAGGCACGAACGTGCCCAGAATTCAAGACACCATCCCTCCACCGTAAAAGTGGCGGATGCAATCATCTCTGTGAGCCAGCTGCTGTAACCGAGCCTCGGCGTGCATTCGCAGCCGGCCTGGGGTGGAAAGTGACGCCGCGCGCTAATGCGATCTTGCCACACTCCGATTGGAAAAAGTTCGGGGGGAGGGGGGGGGAGGAGGAGAAGGGGTTCAAACGTGGGACACACAACGATGCGCCTGAGGAAATCGCCACGGGGGGCATTGGAAGCGCGGCGGCACTGCGCCAGCCCGAATCTCCCACTCGTGCACCACGCACTGCAAAGCGCGCGGAGAAAGGAGGAGAGGGCGCACAAAAGGAGGAGGGGAGAACGCCGAGAAAAGACAGCGGCCAGACAATCCTCCTGCGCCGGGGCGATGAGAGGGTCGAATTTCCGAGCGCGCCGTGCAAGAACGCGGATGCACGAGTAGCCGGACGAGGCATTCAGAAAGGCTTCAACCTTTTGCTGGCGGTGAGCGGAGGGAGGGGGAAGGCCAGGGAGGGAAGAAAGAGCATGCCAATGTTCGAGCATATGTCGAAAATGCGATTCTGGGGCGTCAGGGGGGTGGGGGGGGGGGGGGCGGAGGATGAGGAGGAGGAAACACTTCGTTCCCCGCGGTATCTGCAGGCAGTCCCCCCCCCCCCCCCCCCCCCCTCCTTGATGGGGAAGGGAGATGTCGAGGGGGATGGCGAGGAGGGGGAGTACGAGGGACGAGACAAGGGCTGCCGCTCCTCCTCCTCCCCCCCCTCATCCCCCCCCTCCCCCTCGCCGTCGTCATCGCCCTCATCCTCGCCCCCCCCCCCCCCCCCCCCCCTTCATCTCCTCCGCCCTCCTCCTGCCCTTATCATTTTCCTTTTCAGTATATAGCCCCACTCTGCCACCTAGCAGGCCGACAGAGGCCAGATCTGGGTGGTTCCGCCCTGCGCATCAACAACTACAAATTCCGCGTTTTTCCTGCCGACGCGGGCGTTTTGTCGTCGACGGCGCAAAGCATGTGGGCGCCCATTATCACGCGCTCCTTTTGCCGAAGCAAGCTCGGCGTCAAGGGGTGCTCGAATTGGCAATCCTTTAAACAGCTAAACTGGTTGAGACAAACCAGCTTGATCCAAAATGGCCACGGAGGTTCGCAGGAAACGTTTGGAGCCCATCTTGTGGAGTCTTGGGGGCATCTGGGAGGTCTCTGGGGCCCTTTTGGTGGGATCTTGGGGCGGTCTAGGACCTTGCCGGACGGGCCGAATGGCCTCCAAGACCGCCCCACTGGTCCCAGGGGGCTCCTGGACCGCCACAGGCCGCCATGGAGGTTCGAGCGACACTTGTGGGCCCCCATCCGGCCTACTCCGTATATATATATATATATATGTGTATATATATATATATGTGTGCGTAGATGTTTGCGTGTACAGTTGGGTATGGATGCAGGCAAACATAATTACATATATATATATATATCAGTGAGTCATACAAACACACATGTTCATGTCTATGTGTCTACATATGTGTGTGCGAGAGAGCTTGGGCGGCGGCGAAACTAGAACGCTCGCCGCCATCCTCCTCCGCCATCTTCCTATTTCAAATCCCCCCCTCCTCTTGGCGCCGTTTCGTTGAGATGGCGGCACGGGCCCCCTTGCACGAGACGACAGAGAGCCCCACGCTGCTCCACGCTGCAAAGCCCTACCACCTCTCTTCCATGAGAGGCGATGGGGACACGACGCTATCGCGCCAGCGGCCGCGCATTGGGCCGCATGGGCTGCAGGCGCGTCGCTTCCCTTCGCTGTCCTGTCCCTCCTCTTTCTCCTCTTTCTCCTCTTTCTCCTCTTTCTCCTCGCTCCTCTCCCTCTCCCTCTCTCTCTCTCTCTCTCTCTCTCTCTCTCTCTCTCTCTCTCTCTCTCTCTCTCTCCCTCATTCTCCCTCCCCATATCGCCCCTCTTTCTCCCTGTCTCTCCCTCGCATCAACCGCTTCTGTGTGCCCTCGGCCTCGTTGCCCTTCGCCCCCTTCGTCCTCCTTGTCCTCCTCCTTGACACGAAGCTTGCGCAATGGCTGATCGCTTGCCTCCTCCAAGGCATCACCGCGACGCACTATTCGTCGCTACGTGCCCGGTCATGCGAATGCGGATGAAACTTGCTTCATCCACAAACGTCCGCGCAACGTCCGCTGGCCCACGCCGGATCAATAAAGACAAGCACTCCCTTCGGCAGCGCGCGCCGAAGATAAGCCATAACCGATTGAGGACTGACCCCGCCCGTGCCCTACAATGGCACCTCTTAAGATAACGCGAAGCAGTAGTCGACCGAAGCCGACGTCAATGAGGCATGGAGAAAGACCGTCACGTTCGAGGTGAACCCATTCTATGCAACGCTTCAAGGCATGCAGGGTATACATACGCACCCGCAAATTATTTCAACGATGCAATCACGGGCAAGACAAGGTCAAACAAACGGGCAGTAAAGCAAGCCGAGGCAATGCAAGACAATGCAAAGAAAGTCTGACAAACATCGCCAAACTCAACATGTATAGGATAATACCTACTCGGATGTAAGGCCGGAACATCTTCTCGATATTGAGAGCAAACTCCCCGAACAAGGCTTAGGAAGACAATCGCACAGTGCCGCAAAGCACTTCCCGTCATGAGCGAAGCCACGCGGCCGAATCAGCCTGACATTGCCCAGTCCTACATTCTCGTATTTTAAGCCTGGACGCGGGAATAGGTGAAAGAGGAGGAAGAGGAGGCGAAAAAACACAATAATAATCCGCCGACCCCAGAGGCGTGTGAGATGGTTTGTTTCTCGCGTGTCAAATGGAAGCACCGTGCTTGTGAACTCTCACATTAAAATGGGAGCATCATGGACGAATCGCGACGAACCACTTCAAATCAGCAGCAAGAAGATAGAAGATAGAAGCTCTATTCTCAAGAAACTCTTCGGGGAATCGAAAAAAGTGCCGGGGGCAAAAGTGCGCAATTCCCTTGACCCCCCCCGAATAACCACCAGCACATGGCAGACACACCGTCCCCCCCCCCGAATGACCCCCACCCCACCCCCGGGAGACTACGACGACGACGAAAAACAACGAAAAACTACAAAAAACTGCGAAAAACGACGACGACGACGACGCTCTTCGGACCCCCCACCCTGCAACCCCCACCCCTCCCCGGCACCCTCTCCCCATGGCAGGCCTCTTGTGCACCCCCGCCACACGCCAGCCCTGCTCTTGGGGCCCCCCACCCTACACCACCACCCCCCCCGCACCCCCACCACACGCCAGCTGTGTTCTTGCGACCCTTCACCCTACAACCCCCACCCCTCCCCGGCACCCTAACCCCATGGCAACCCTCTTCTGTGCCCCCAACACACGCTAGCTTTGTTCTAGGGTCCCCCCCCCACCCTGCAGATTTTCGGCCAAAAATCACTACGTCCTTGATCTTCTTTGGGGTCGGCGGCAGAGGCGGCAGCTTTTAGAGAGAAGAGAGAGAGAGAGAGAGAGAGAGAGAGAAAAAAAAAAAAAAAAAAAAAAAAAAAAAAAAAAAAAAAAAAAAAAAAAAAAAAAAAAACATGAACGAACAACATAACGAGAAAATATAAGTATGAGGTGATCGCGGCGAAAAAAAAATATTCTGACGGTGGAACCCCATGCGAGAATCTGTCGAGCTTCCCCATTAGCCCTTTCCTCCTCTCCCTGGCGGACACTCTCCTCTCGCCCTCTGCTCTGCCCTCTCCTCCTCCTTCTACTTATCCTCCTCCTATTCCTCCTCCCCCATCCACCTCCTCATTTCCTCATCATCGCCCTCCCCCGTGCTCCTTCCCTCCTCCTCATCCTCCGCCTGCATATTCTCCATGTGCGCCTCCCCGGCCCCCTGGTCGGCGCAAGCAAGTCGATGTTCCTCGGCGCCCTCGCCGCCTGGGCAATCGCGCGCGCGTTTGCCGACGGCTAGATCGCGAAGCCGTCGGGGCAACCCTTCGGGCCAGACCTTTTGGGCAACCCCGCGAGCCGCTGGGGCGCGAGAGCAAACCGTTGGGACAATCCCGCAGGCACCGAGCTAATCGCGGCCGCGCTCAGGCCGGAGGCAGCACGAAACCCAGCTCTGCCGCGAGCTGCTCCGCCTCAGCCCTGGAGTCCACTGCTTTCTTGTCATATTCCTCGAGCGCCTTCCGCAGGGGCGCCGGCGGCCCGCGCTCCAGAAAGTCTCGCGTGGGCGGCCGCAGGAACAGCATGTTCCGCATTTGGCTGACGATGGGTCACCACCGCCAGCCCGGAGACAAAGGGTCACCCCTTCCCCCGATTCGGCCGAGGATGGGTTACCACCCCCAGCCCGGACGCAAGGGGCCACCCCTGCGCCCGATTCGGCCGCCGATGGGTTACCACCGGCGGCCCGGAAACAAAGGGTTACCCCTGCCCCCGATTCGGCCGAGGATGGGTTACCACCCCTAGCCCAAACGCATGGGGCTACCCCTGCGCCCAATTCGGCCGCCGATGGGTAACCACCGGCGGCCCAGAGACAAGGCGTTACCCCTGCCCCCGATTCGGCCGAGGATGGGTTACCACCCCCAGCCCGAACGCAAGGGGCTACCCCTGCGCCCGACTCGGCCGCCGATGGGTTACCACCGGCGGCCAAGAGACAAGGGGTTACCCCTGTCCCCGATTCGGCCGAGGATGGGTTACCACCCCCAGCCTGGACACAAGGGGCTACCCGTGCGCCTGGCCGCTGCCTCGTCGTCGTCGTCGTCGTCGTCGTCGTCGTCGTCGTCGTCGTCGTCGTCGTCAGCTCCTCAATCACCATTTCGGGCACGCAGGCCCATGACAACAGCAAATCTGCTGACGACCAACTCAGACGAGGCTACCCGCAGTTCGCTCACAGACAACGCTCCCGCCTAATACTTCCCCCGTATTCAAGCCGCAGGAGCTGAGGAACCCAAAAAGCTCGCTCGGATGACCCGCCTCGGATTCGACCGTGAAGTGCGGGTCCCATAGGGAGGGGGCTCCCCGCCTGAGACTTCCTCGCAATTCACTCACAGACGAGGCTCCCGACTCA